TTGGCTTAATGTTGATGGTATGCTCGGAATTGCATAATTATGATTGTAGCATATCGCATTTCATGCATCGTTGAGGGCTCATGCCCTGGCCTTTATGGCAATCATTGAGGGCTCATGCCATGGCCTTTACGGCAATTGTTGAGGGCTTATGCCCTGGCGTATATTGAAATTTGTTGAGGGCTTATACCCTGATGGTACCACATACATTTTGCATCAGAGTTAGTTGCATTGCATTGGTTGAATTATCAAATCATTGGATTGTTATATTTTGGAATTGTTGGGTTGTGGCACTGTTGAATTATGGACTTGTGGAAGTGGTGTTATTGATAATTGTCGAACTTGAATCTCTGAATGATATATTTGTTGTTTACTTATAATTATATGACTTATTATATTATTATGATATCTCACCCTTACTGTTTGAATGTTGCCTCCATGTGGGCAACATGCAGATAGCCAGGAGTAGTGCGAAGTTACGGAGTCCAGATACGGATGTCATTCTGACACTCATTCAGTTCATCTTTTAGATACGATCCATTTATGGATATTATTCTGATACTCATCCCACTACATCTACTGTCTCAGTATAAATCGACCATAGATTTATTCTGATACTTCTTCCAATTTCTACCAACAATCACCTTTGGATGGCATCTATAAGTCCATCTCCGACAACTCTCCATCATCTCTCCAAATGGCATCTTTAAGCCCATTCCATATACAATCAACTAACACATCATCGAGTGCAAATTTCTGGGCACTCTAGTGTTCAATCATTTTCTACCTTCAAGTTACGAATGGCGGACTCGCCAATCTAACTCTTCAGGTTTAAGAAGATTGAACAGGGGCAGTTGTTGTACCCCAAAATTTGCCCTCACTTTTTTCAAGACATTTCCTCACAAGGATTTTTAAAAGTTCAAGTTTGCATAAGTACAATTGGATTTTTAATTGGACTTTCAAACATTAAATCGAAGAAGAGAAAGCTTGTTTTGATTCATAAAGCTTCGATTAGGCATCTAGCTTCCTTCGAGCAGACATGATTTTTAAGCTTCGATTAAACATCTAGCTTCCTTCGAGAAGGCTTAGTTTAGAAGTTCTGATTGAGCATCTGGCCTCCTTCGAGCAAGCTTTGGTCCACAGGCTTCGATTGGGTATTTGGTCCCCTTCGAGCAAGCTTTGGTCCACAGGCTTCGATTGCACATTTGGTTCCCTTCGAGCAAGCTTTGGTCCACAAGCTTCAACTGGACATTTTATCCCATTCGAGCAAGCTTTGGTCCACAAGTTTCATTTGGGCATATGGCCTTTTACATGTTTTCTTTGATTCACAAAGCATTAGCCTCCTACATGCAAACTTTGATTGGACAAGGGCTACTTTCACACAAAGCTTCGTTTGAGCATTGACCTCTTCCATGTCTACTTTGATCCACAAGGCAAGTTCCTCCTATGTGCTTAATTTCGACCCACAAGGAAATGGCTTCCTCTGTGCTTTCCATTAATGCACGAGGCAATGTCTTCCCTTCATGCTAGCGCCCACAAAGCAAGTGGCCTCCTGCATGCAAGCTTCGATTGAGCAATGATCCCTTACATGCTTGCTTTGATTTACAAAGCAATGGCCTCTTTCCTGCTTGCTTCAATTCACAAGGCAGAAACTTCCTTTATGCTAGCACCCACAAAGCAGTTGGCTTCTTTCATGCATGCTTCGATTCACTGGGCAGTGGATCCCTTTGAAACAGCTTGCTTCGATTCCATCTTTAAAAATCTTCAACACACATAGTTTCTACACTATGACATACATTGGTGGCCCATTCGAAGGACATGCATTGGTGGATTTGAAGGACGTACCTGGGTGTCCCATTCGAAAGACAAATATTGGTGGCCCATTCGAAGAATTGCAAATGGTCCATTCGAAGGATACATATTGGTTGGGAACAAATATTGTTATCTGAAGAGGAGTCTGGTCGAAGATTGAACCTATGTGGTCAAAATGAAAGGGTGAAGTATTCAAGATGCTTGTGCTGCCAAGTACAAGCCTGCTGCACTAGCCACAACACGCCAAAACTGCTGCAAAGCAGTCTTGCTATGCTGCTCTCATATTTGCACCAAATTGACATACAAAGACTTCACCTTTAAAGCTACAAAAATAGCATACCCAATTTGTTCAAATCTCATTTGTTTTCCCTCCCAAACTTCAGCCAATTTCATCTATAAATAAGAGGTTCCATGACACATCTAAAGGGGGATTTTTTGGTGGCTGGAGAGAGATTCACTAACAAGGCAAAGAAAGGAGAAAACACTTCACACACTCTTAAACCCAGAATCAAAAGACCACACCCTTGTTTCAATTCTTTCGAATCCAGAACTAAAGAAACACAACACTTGTTTCTTTTCCTTCAAATCCAGAAACAAACAAACACAACTCTACTTTTATTGGTTTTCGAATCCAGTCAAAGAAACATAACACTTGTTTCTCTCCCTTCGAATCCAGGAGCACCCAGGGTAGCAACTCAAGTCCAAAACCTATATTCCAGCTTCAATCAAGGTAAGTCTTCCTGACTTTGACCCTTTCGTTTCAAGCATGTAAATAACCTTTTTGCGTATTTTTTTGTTTCTTCCCTTTTAGTTTGTTTTTACTTCAAGCAAGAACTAACCTGTACATACCCAAACGAAAGAAAAAAGTTGGTATGAATCGAAGCCTTAGGCTTCGTCCCTTACTGCTTCACAGTTGCAAACAGAAAAAGAAGGTAGTGTGAATCAAAGGTTACAGACTTCGATACACACTGAGTACAGGCACAAATCGAAATAAGGAAAGATTGCGGCAATCGAAAGGCACATCCTTCGATTCAGGATGTCTTTCCTTTCTCTCTTTTACACTATTTTTGCCTTTATATTTTCTATATATATTTACATTTTTTTGCTATTCAATATGGTTGTAATAATTAGGAATTTTATTGCTTTTCAACCCCCATTTGTAAATATGTATACCCCATCCCCCAAAACATGTAATAGTGTAGGACATTTATTTTTCACATTTTTATGGCTTTCATAAAATGGCAGTAATTAGATTGTGTATGGAAAGAGTTAAAATCAACAAGTAGACAACCCAAATTCAAGACTAAATACATGAAATCAAACACACTATTCACATACATGCACCTCTAGGGTAATCTCACTTGTTGCCTTAGAAAATAGTCATATCCCTCGAATATGGGCGTTTTAGCAAAGACCCTCGATGAAAGATCGTAGTCCCTCGATGTCCCTTGATGTTGCCTTCGGTAAATGATATAGTCCCTAATGAAAATTGCTAAAACGTCTCATAGGTTGTCTTCTATGACTATACGATGACCCACGCCCGTCCCTTCACATCCAACAATGGGGCTTCTTGCCAATCAATGGTAAGATAGCAACATCTAAAGGAGGAGGAAAAGAACATAGAACTTTTGAGTAGGTAGGACGCTCCTAGTTGCTTTCTCTTGAACTAAAACCATTTTTTCACACATACACTCACAAAACACCTTCAAAAACCAATATCTCTTTGAACTATTTTCAAAACCAACACTTTGTACGCATTCTTATAGAGACGAGAATCGTTACAAAGTTTGTCGCAACAAAGATATTTTGTAAAATATTTTCAAACTTACACCACAAAGCATATTTTCAAACAAAAGCAAGTGATCTAGCAAGCAACTAAGAGCCCGTAGATAACTACGGATGAAAATGGTGATAATACCTTCCCTTTTCATAACCTACCCCCTGAACTCAAGAAAACGTCTCTAAAGGTCTTTCATGTTCTTTTCACCCTTTCCTTATTGGATAAAAGAAAATTCAGCGACGACTCTTGCCATCCGCAACAATTGCGATCAAACGCAAAACATCCAATGCAGTTCTCCCACTGTATCACACCAGCGTACGGAACTGAGGCGGTAATCATAGTCGAAATAAGAGATCCTTCCAGGTGGACAGAATCCCCTTTCGATTAAGATATGGATGATAAGGCACTAAGAGAGGAGCTTGATCTTGTCGAAGAAGTTCTATCAGGAGCATCCCTTCGAAAGCCTCGCTGAAACAAAAAATAGCCATTTGTCATGACGTTAAAGTCATACGACGAGAATTCAAAGTCGAAAGCCTACTCTTAAGGAGAAATCATAAAGATTCTCGCAAGGGAAAACTCACCGCGAATTGGGAAGGTTCCTATCGCGTCTGGGAAAAAACAGAGAACAATGCCTACTACCTCAAACATCTCAATAGGGAAGAACTTGCTCAACCATAGAATGCTGAAAAGTTGAAATAATACTACAGTTGAAGGTTAGAAAAGTCGGCGTACTCTGACAAACGACGAACACAGCATTCCCGACCACATGTGCATGCTCAGGTACAAGCACAACACCTCAAATTCAAACAAAAAGCTGAGTTTCCATTATTTAACGAGCAAACCCTTGGCCCGACATGGAAAACCCATATGAGATCCACCGTCGTCGTACCATGTTGGCAGAATACCCAACTTGCGGTGGGAAGTTCACGCCGTAAAGCTTAGATCTCAAATGAGACCTAAGATGCACCCTTTAACCGGAAAGCAACCTCAGTCATTCGACTAGTTCCCCGCACTGTCAAACAATATTACAGTCAACCAAAACCTCTGAAAAACACATAGCAAGAATATCAATAATAAACGTCTCTAGCTGACAGGCGTATGAACATGCAAAAGTTAAACAAAAGCAAAATAAAACAATAATATCACACATCCAAAAACGGTAAAGTACGATTAAGCTTAAATGGCCACGAAGACCATAATTGTCAGGATATTACATAAAGTAGGCAAAGCTCCCATCCAAAAATAAGAAAAGTAACGGTCACGAAGACTGAAATTGTCAAGAAGTTACATCAAACAGGAAAAAAGACCCAAGAAAATTAAAAAGTTACGACACGCACGCCGGACATGCAAAAATAGCATATAAAATCAACCAGTTATTAGGCGTCTGCTCCTTATGGCCAAGGTTCCCCTCCTATTCTTCTTCGTCGAGGTTAAAGAACTCTGAAGCAACAACCCGACTGTCCACCACTTGATGCAAAAACCATATCCTCATGGTAGAGACCTCATGCTCGAGAGCTACTACCTTGAGTTGATCCACAGTATTATTAAAACATGACTTCGCTGCAGCCAAGCAATCCTCGTCAAGGAATTAAATGCAAGCAATAAGATCGTACATGTCTTCAAGGTTTTCAATTAAAAAGAAAAGAGGAATACAAATATCACAAGGGGGACCAAACCAAGATCCCTTAAAATTGAATTCTAAGTCTGGAGGTACCTTCCTTGTCAAGTAAGAATTCCCTAAGCACATCCCTATGAACAAAAGTGAATCAAGAAAAACATCTCAGCTTAAGGCCCATGCCAGCAAGAATCTCAACACAAAAATTGGCCTCCCAGAAAATATGCATAATCAAAAAATCAATAGTTAGCGGGTAGACCCGACAATCCAACCAACGAGCTTTGAGAATCCAAGGCACAAGGTTCGGATTAGAAAACGAGTTGACCACCAGCAAACAATCAGCTTTAATCCACAACTTCTTCCAACCCAACTCTTTGGCTTTCTTAATGGCAATTTTCACAGCATTAAACTCAGCAAACACTACATTCCCATTCTCGAGATATTCAACAAAACTACCAAGATGGCCTGAGTTGTTGTCCCTGGAAATACCCTCAACAAGCACTGATAGATGGACCCGTAGCGATGCCATTAACATTACACTTTATCCAACCAATCGGAGGAGGAGACCACACCACATCAGCAGGCCGCACGACAATAGACGGATGAATTGTTATATCAAAGTTTTTTAACAAAATAAATTTTTTGATGGCTGCATTGGAGCATTTACTGGTTAGATTTCCCACAAACTCGGCATTGGGAGCTACATAATTAACACGGGATTTCCACAAAATATTTTTATCCTTGAATCTGGACAGATTACGAGCTTTCCAAACCTGAAAGAAAACATTGCCCACACTTGCAGACACAACAGTTTCAGCCTGAGAAGACCAATTCAAAGATAACACCTTCCTAATATCAAACTGAATGCCCAACATATCTTTAAGCCAATTCCAAATATTGCAGACAAACAAACAATCAAAAAATAGATAAGCGGAGGATTCGCATTGAGACTTACAGAGGTTGCGTATAGAAGGAAAAGAAAGACCACGAAGTGACAAGTTATCGTCTGTCGGAATCTTGTTGTGCATGTATCTCCAAACCAGAAATGATTGAGAGGGGGGATGATTGGATTCCAAGGGAAGGAGGTTTTCTTAGACTTTAGAGTCTGACCGGTAATGAATGAGTACGCCTGCTTCATGCTGAGCATAATGTTCGAAGACTGCAACCAGACTAACTAATCCTTCACATCTTCATTCGAAAACTTAACCTTCGAAATAAAGGAAAGAATACTAGGAAAAGCTTGACCAAAATTTTTAGGGAGAGTCCATTGATTATTAATTATAAAAGTTTCAACTTTGACTGAGAGAGAATTATGGAATTTCTTTGGAATTTTGTACTTGAAATCCAACACCTCACCAAGCCAATTGTCCAACCAAAAATTAGTAGACCTGCCATTGAAACTTTTGTTACTTAATGAGATTGATGGCCTCAGAAGTGAGACAAATACAATCTCTAATACTTATCTCCTTTATAAATCCTTTTTGCTCAAGGGAGATAAGGGAAAGAAAAATAGCAGACAGTCTGTTCGCAAGGATCTTCATAATGATCGTATGCTTGACATTAGCAAGGGTTATGAGTCTGTATTGGTTCAGGGTACTTGCGTCCAAAGTTTTGGGAATTAAAACAATGGTATTGGCATTATAATTATTCGAAAGCCAAGCCCGCACAAAAAACTGACAAACAACATTAATCACATCAATTTTAATGATGTCCCAGTATTTTTGGTAGAAAAAAGCCCCAAATCCATCCGCATCAGGCGCAGAGTCAAGATTCATATTTTTGACAGTTGAATGGATTTCATCTGCAGACGAAATTAAGGTTAGTAGGTGATTGGTATTAGCATCCACCGGCTTAGGGATACACTTTTGAATCAAATTTGTATCCTGCAAAACAACATTATTATTGAACAAATACTTGTAGTGATTTTAGCTATGGGCTTCTAACACAAATTTATCAGTAACAATCAAGTCATTGATAAAAGAGAGGAAATCAGATTTGTTTTTACTTCTGATCTTGGCATATTTATGGAAAAAACTAGTGTTGCGATCCCTAGCAATATGCCAATTTAGTCCGTATTTTTCCTTCTAAAATTCCTCGTCCAGATTTTGTTGAGCTTTAAGCTCCTCAGCCTGCAGCAAATCATTGTAACCCGAAATCTCAATGGCACCTTGAATCTCCTTAATAACTCCTTCAGCTCCAGTAACTTTGTAAGTCACATTTCCAAAGGTTTCCTTGTTCCATATTTTGAGATTTTCTTTTAGAATTCTAAGTTTCCTATCGAGAATATACAAAGGATAACCAATAATCTTAGTGTTCCAAGCATGCTGAATAACCCTAGAGAAATCCTCATTTAATGACCACATTTTAAGAAATTTAAATTCAGACTTGAAAGACACTTTTCAAAATCACCAAGTGAGTAGAATAGGGAAGTGATCAGATTTGTATTTAGGTAAAGGAGTCAGCCATAAGAATCAACTAAGAGCCCATAGATAACTATGGATGAAAAGGGTGCTAACACATTCCCTTTTCATAACCTATCCCCCGAACTCAAGAAAATATCTCAAAGGCCTTTCCTGTTCTTTTCACCCTTTCCTTATTAGATAAAAGAAAAGTCGGTGGCGACTCTTGCTATCCACAACAATTGTGATAAAATGCAAAACACTCCAAGTCAGTTCTCCTACCGTATTAAAGAACTGGCGACTCTGCTGGAGACTACCTTAAAAAGTGGGGTTACCTTAGAGCTAGATCACATTTATTTGCTTTCATTGTTTGACTTGTTTGCTTTACATTTATGGGTCATTGTTTGGATTTTGTATTGATCCTCTACCCGGATCTGGGAACATTATTAGGTAAGTAGAAATAGATTGTGGAAACTGTACGGCGTAGACCGATATGATTGAAGCAATGGCTATGTTAGTGTTACGTATTTGTTGGTACCAGTATCTCTTGTGTTGAATCAAGGAGAATACGGGGCCGCCGAGCAGTGTCATGAAGCACTAACTGACCGTAGAACCTTTAATTGAACAACTTGGCCATTAGGAAGTAGTGAGATAGCCAGTTTCGGTGAAAAGCTGAAAATTGGTTGATACTCGATACTACGCTCATTGAGATCGTACTTTTGGGATATTTCGGCCGCAAGAAAAGATTGATTATGCTGAGACAATGCCCAATGAAGAAAGATCAGTGATATTGAGATTCTCTAGAACCCGATTACTTTCTAGGACAGGTTGAACCAACTAAACTTCAAGAGGGTACTTACCTATAAACTCCATGCAAGCCTAAACATAAGGACTTATTTGCTTTGCTTTTATATGTTATTTGTACATAACATCATGACATCATACCATAGCATTTTCAATAACCATTTCAAGGATATCAAGGGTTTGTGATGCAGGGATATATTGAACCAGACGTCTATCAAGGGACAAGAGGATTTATTTTCCTCTAGCCAAATGTTGTCAAAGACCAAAGCACGTTGTCTTAAGTCGAGAGCTATGACCCACTCGAGATGTTGAGCTTGATTCTCGTGGAAGGAAAACTAACGATACAAAGTTCTCCAATCAAAGTTGTGATCAAAGTTCAACTTCTGACATTTTCTTGAGTTTACCCTGCAAGATCCTTGAAAACATTGCATTTTATGTATCATGCATGTCATTATATAACAGGTATTCTCAAGACAGGTTTCTCATTTTTCTCGTTGTTTATTTCAGTAAGAAAATGGATCTAGAGCAAACAGTTAAAGATCTCCAAGCTCAGAATGTCCAGTTCCAACAAGTGCTCCTGAACTTAGCCAAGGGGCAGGAAGATCTGAAAGCACTCTTCACTAAAGGGAGTAAGAAGAAGACTAAGAAGAAGGTTGTCATCCTCAACATAGGAAGAAGGTTCAAGGGGCCTGCCCAACTAGCTCAAAAAGAAGATGTTTATTCTGAGGAAGAAGACAATCAAGAAGAGTAAGCTAGAAGCACTGGAGTTAGGGATAACCAAGCTACTGAGGACGGAGACTATTATGAGGAGAAGTATCCACCAGCGGATGAAAAATATAAACAGCTTGAAGACCGACTTAAGGTTGTGGAAATCAAAGTAGTACCTGGTCTAGACTTTGGAGATTTAGGGTTTGTCCCTAGGGTAGTCATTCCCTAAAAATTCAAGATCCCTATCTTTGCCAAGTATGACGGGGTATCTTGTTCTAAGATGCATCCGAGACCTTATGCCCGAAAGATTCAGCCACACACCACTGATCAGAAGTTGTGGGTTCACTTTTTCCAAGAAAGCATGTCTGGAATGCAGTTGGAGTGGTTCTATCAACTTGAGAGGACTAATATCCACACCTGGGAAGATCTAGCTGCTGCTTTCTACAAGCAGTACCAATACAATGCTGATCTTGCACCAACTCGTGTGCATTTGCAGAATATGACTATGGGCTCAAACGAAGGCTTTAAAGAGTACACGCAAAAGTGGAGAGACCTGCCCGACAAGGTGAAGCCACCTTTAACTAACAGAGAGCTGGTTGATATCTTTATGGGAACTTTGACATGACCTTTCTTCAATCACCTAATCAGAAGCTATTCGACCGGGTCCACCAAGATAATTCTAACTGGGGAAGGAGTTGAAGGCGGAATTAGAAACAGAAAAATCCAGGTGGCTGCGTCTTCAAGTACTGAAAAGAAGATATACATTGGAAAGAAAGAGTTCAATGCTGTATATGGCTAGGAGGGACATGCTAGAGGTAACCACAACCAATCTGTGGGAGTTGTACTAATCTCTAATCCTACGCCCGTGCAATAACATCAACAGGGGAATCAGCATAAGGAGGTCGCACCTAAGAGACAATTCACCAAAATCAACATGTCACTGGCTCAAGCGTTACAACACATGTTAAAGGCAAAGCTGATTACGTTAAAGGCTCCTCTATGGAATCCCAATACTTCCGCTCCTAGTTACCATCCCACTGAAAGGTGTGCATACCATTCCGATACTCCTGCACATGATACGAATGGCTGCTGGGCTCTGAAGAACAAAATTCAAGATATGATTGACACCAAGGAGATTGAATTCAGCCCTCCAGAGATTCCCAACGTGATCACTGCTCCCATGCCAAATCATTTGAGAGTGTCTAGTTCATTTTTGAATTTTCAATTGTAATTTCTTTTGTTTGTTCGAACACTTATCTATTATGTCAAACTTTGTTTCATTAATGCATTGCATATGTTTGTATTTAATTAATCCATTCATTTTCACTATATTTAAACTGTGCTTTTTTATTCCCTTTTTGTGATATTCAACTATCATTAAAAGTTGTAAGCCTTTAGAGGGAGGATGACGAAAACAATACCGTAATCCTATACAGTGTGCTTTTGGACAGACCTTACTGACAATGTACAAGTTTTCTTTCAATTCCTAAATAGTGGAGTTATAAGGAAGATAATCCCTAGTCAACCCCTTTGAGCCTAAGAAGTAGAAGTTTTCTTTTTCGCACAAATTGAAACCTTTAATCATAACCTGGGGCAGAGTAGTTTCTCAGCTAATTCAAATGCGCGTTCAGTCGCAAGCTTTCACTTCGTACACAACGAGTGACATCAAAAACATCCTTCTGAGTCAAAAGACGATGATGGTTCTCTGTAAAATAGGTAGTCGTTATCTCTTAAAAGAAAAGCTCACTGAGTCAAAACCTACGAAGGAGACTTAAGAAAAACTGGGGCATTCCGCTGACTGTAGTCTCAAAACAAAAAAGTCAGCCAAAAATTAGGGATAATAAATCAAAAGAGGTCGCTACAAATCCTCAACAACAGAAAAATATTGCAAAAATGACTGCCTTCTCAAATAAACTTCCAATATCCGAACCATCACCAAGATATCATTCCAGATTCAGTTGGGAGATAAACGCGCAATTAACTAAGTTTAGGACTGGAGAACATCATGGAGAACGGGTTGAGTACCAATAAACTTTGAGCCTTATTCTTTGTTTCTTAAACCATGAACCAGGCCACGTTACAACCCCTTAAAAGTCCTAATTGAAGCATGGGTTAGT